GAATATAATAAACAGGTTAAAAGACGGCGGAATCGGCAAAAACTTTGCTTATAGGTTAGAGGAACCTAGAGGAAATCAGAAATCATCATTATGAGCAACTAGACTATGGCTGGACATTCGAGACATTCGAATGACAATCAGAATCAAGAGAAAAGGGCCGCCGTAAGCACAGTAAAGTCCTTCATTACCTTAAACGACTACACTGCCATGGTACAACTCCCGCTTGGAGCGTTGATAAGACCTATGCAAGGTCAACACTGCAATCCACTCTGGATGAGAACACCTTTTGGGAAAGCAAGGCTGTGAAATTCAATGGATACGTCAGCTCTACTAATATCATTGTGGGAAAAATGAACTACCAGTCCTTAATCACCTTAAATGAAATAGGGTGAATACAACTCACATGTCTACAACGTTTGGGGGTTCAGAACTCAAGGAAATAGAGAATATGTTAGTCACAACAATCGTAAAAAGTTGGTATTATGGATAGAATAGCCTGGCAAATAAAGACAGAAACCCATTCGAGAGGAGGCCAGTGATATAAGTTCTCAGTTTTGATTTAGAAACAAGTTTTCGAGACTACCAGTAGATCATATGTATTCACCCTATTTCATTTTAGATTATAAGAGGAGTGATAGTTCAAATTTTCCCACAATGATGAGTAGATCTTATATTTCCATTAAATTTCACAAAGCCTTGGTTTCCGAAAAGGCATTCTCATCCAGTAAACATAAGGTTTACTCATCTCATTGTGGAAAAATTCAACTACCAGTCCCCTTATCACCTTAAATAAAATATGGCGAATACATTTCATGCACAAGTTCTCAGTCAGGAAGAATCTAATAAAATTGGATGAAATAATTTGCAGGCCAAAAGTACAAAGTCGGATTAAATGGGGGAGCAGAGTAAACCCAGAGGGAGTGTGGTTACAGCACAGGGCGCAACCCTGGAGTAACTCAGAGTAAACAACTTAAAAAGTTGTGATAGAGTGGGTTAAGCGAGTAAATTAGAGCAAGAGATAGCACAACTATTCAGCAGAATTTTGGTAAAGGGCCGAACATATCTTAACTCTGAATTCGCTAAAGATGCTGAAGTAATGTTTGGGAAGTTGTCAAGTCAATAGTCTAAATCTGGAAATGAGCAATATGACAGTAATCCGGGCAAGGTGAGTCCATTGAGGTGGCCCTGACAAAAAGACCAAGTTGTGAAAACGAGGTCAAATCATTTTTTGAAGCAGTCAGTCTTTAAGTCAAAATTAATAAATTTTAGTAGGATAATAAATATTAAGACAATAATTGAGTCGTAGAAAAGTGCCTTAAACAGTGCATACTTAAGTAAGAAATTCTCACCTATTATAAAGAAACAGTCTGAAAGTATATATCTAAATCTAAAATTGAGCTATAGTAGAAACAAGTAAGTAAAATTACAAATTATCTAGTAAATACCAAGGCTTGTCTCAAGAAAAAAGTCCGAATATCCGAACGTTCTAGTAATTTATTATGGCTACATCTACAATGGTTAACTCAATTGCGAAAAGTTTCTTCTACAGCAAGGCTAATTTTGAGCAAAAACAGAATTCTCAAATCTTATTCAGGATACGCTATTAGTCTCGACAGCTAATTAACACAATTATAAAAACAGAATAGCCTCAGTCCTTAAAAGTTAAAATAAAAATCCCAAGCTTAAGTGAATAGGAACAAGTTCTAGAAAATGATACTCTCTTGTCAAAGCTGCGTCAAAGATTGGATCACATATACGAACGGGCATGAAAACAAATGGATAAAGTATTATCAATAATCATACAATAAACAAAATATAAAATCACAAAACTTTTCATGATTCATAAAATATTAGAGTATTTTTAGAATATAAACGAGGGATATGAAATAATCGAGAGAATGCTAGTTTAATTAATATATTCAAAATAGTTCATGCCATTTAGCAATAATAGTATATATTTTATGACAAAGAAAGAGTGCGCAAGAGAAAAGAATGGTTATAAATCAAAGAGAAAGAAAATTTTTCGAAATTAATTAATAAATTATAATTCACGAAAAGGATAAATATTAGTGCAAAACTGGATATTAAATAGAATACTAAATCAAAATGAACATCACTTACTTGACGAATAAGTTGCAACAACGAGTAGAGGGTGGGAGGCTAAAGTTGCCAGACCAGTTACCTCGCCGTCAGCGTGGACGAAGGCTTGACGAGTCAACCTAGTAAGTTGAGGGTCACCTGGCTCTACTAGCCTCACCAGCTGCAATTGACTTCCGCCCGGCCGTAATGACTGGCATGCAATCAGGAAACGCACTTCTTCTGAGTCGAAGCCTTCCTCTGCAGTTTCTTTTTTTTCGCCCTCTTGTATACCTACAACTTGATCCATATCGCAGCTTGATCCCCTACCCGGGGAGTTTTGTAGGTAATGGGAAACATTGTCACAACCTTCGTGATTCTCTTTACCTGAAAATGATGAATAGCTATTCTCTCCATCACAACAATTGACATCATAGAGTCCAACCAGACATCTCGCCTGAGGCTAAGGTTAAGGCGATGAAATAAATTTAAAAAATAATAATTTTATCTGTCAATCTTTGGCCATATAGTGCAAAATAGCGAGAAATAGTTCTTATAAAAAGGGAAAGCTAGCAATATTACATGTAAAG